GTATAGATAAATGACTTTTTTGCCCTTGTGAGTATATTAATGTAAAAAGCAGTGACAATTGTGTAATAATAATGAAAAAATAAAGATAATTTTATGGTGATATAATTATTTATGAAATTGAGACTTTGTTTTGGGACCGGACAAAAATAATAAATAAAACTATTATATTTGGACGGAGGGGATATTAAAATGATGTTTTATATATAAAAAAATAATATATTTTTATTGAATAAACGTAAACTAAACATTTGAAATTAAGAACAAAAAAAATCCAAACAAACACTCTAACTAGATAGAAGCTATTTATTATTTTTCTTTAAAAAAAACCCCTAATTTTATTACATAATAGTGTCATTGGACTTAGAAATAATTAATTTTATTTATATTTTTGAAAAATGAAAATAATATTAATAAAAATAAATAGAGAGTAATGCTTGTGTCGGCGGGGCATTTGAAACTTGGGTTCAATAATTGTTAATTCACTCAACTGTCATTTTCCCTTCTGCACACATCGATCATTTCATTGTCATCCGTTACTTCCCACTACTCATTTAATTAAATACAAATATAAATATACTCCTTGAGAATTATGAATATACATTATTTAATCATTTTTAAAATTTAATAAAAATATGTAAATATTTAATAAAATATCAATATAATAAATTATATCGATATTTTATTATTCATAGTATATATATTTAATAATATTCCTCCGTCCAGTTAAAAAGTATATATATTTCTATTTTAGGACGTCCAATTACAAAGTAATTATTTTATTAAATACTCTATTTTTTCTATAAATACCTCTATTTTAAATCACATCATTACTTTTATACCAAAAAAGTAATAGCAAAAATGTCATTTTACTACTTTTACCTACTCCTTAATCTCCGCGCCAAAAATAATTGTATATTTTTAGCTTGGAGGGAGTATTTTTTATTATTATTAATATGATTCTAGATACATAATACTTTTAGTATATTTTATTTTTTTATAATAAAAAAATAATTTTCAATACAAATGAAGTATTTTTAATTTTATTTTTATATTAATGATACGATTACCGTACATTATATCAAAAATATTAATTCAAATTAAAATAGTAAATAAACACACTATTTTACACTATTCAAAATGTATTCTTACAATAAATTCATTATACACATACACTCTTATGGATATACTTTCCCCATTATTTAACAATTTATCCATTTTTTTTTATTTTAGTCTGTCCCATAATAAAATATTTATTTTTTTTTAGTGATTGTACTATCTACGTAACATTACAAATACCCTTTCAATTTACAATATATTACACAAATATCATTATATTTATATCATATAATACTAATAAGGTTAATTTAATCTTTTTATTTTATTTTAATATAATATTAATATTTTTAAAATTTCGTAAAAAAAAACAAAGGAATATATAAATATTGAAGTTGTATTTTTAGGATATGATACATACTGTGTGAGCACAGGCAAATTAAAGCTGCCATCTAAGATTTTCTCTTTTATTATTATTATTAATATTATTATGAAAAGATTATTTTATTTTATTTAATTTTAGGCAGAGATAATGCGTAGTCAGAGTGCAGAGGCACGCTTGGAGATACAAACAGGTTGACCTTTTTTTTTTTTTTTTTTCTGAAATTGTTTAATTAATTTTTAATAAGAAATTTTAAAGTATTTATATTTTAGTTCCTCCGTTTCAATATAATATTTTTGTTTATTATTTTTGTTCATTCTAAAACAATAGTCTTATTTTCGTAAATAATCATATCACCGTAAAACTACCTGTATTTTTTTTTATTAAACAATTATTACTATTTTTTACAATAATACACTCACAAGGACAAAAAAAAAAAACTCTTATATATACTTTTTACCAACTATCAATATAATATCAATATTTCTTAAATATTGATTCTTAAATTTTGTGTCCAACTCAATTAAGACTATAATTTTAAGACGTAGGAAGTATTTAAATGTAAATTTTTAATTTTAGTAATAGTGCAAATTGTGAATTTTAGGTGATATTTTATAAAAGTAAATTAATATATTATATATGATGTTAAATTATTTTTTTTAAAGTGTAAACTTTTTAAAATATGCATGTAAAACTAATGAGTGTTAGTATAAAATAAATATGGTGTGAAAATAATTTGAAAATCTTAAACAAAGGCTACTTTGTAATTAAATAAAAGTAAAAGAAAAGAAGAATTTTGGGTGTGTTTGGTTTGTGTTTCAAACGAAAATTCCAATAATTTAATTTGTATAATTTTTAATAAAAATAAATTATTATTATTATTATTTTTTTACCGAAATTCAAAATTTAAATAAAAACCAAATAAATTGTGTAAATGACACAAGTTAATACTAAATTCAAAAGGTTTGTTTGAAAAACTTTTAGGGAAGAAAATTTAAAAAATATATTGATAATTACGAAAATTTGTTACAGATTTTTTTTTAAAAAAAAAATTCTATTAATAAATTATATGATGATGCTTTGCAAGAAGAAAGAATGTTTGATGTTTTTTTTTTTTTAAAAAAAAAAAAATTACTATTAATAAATAGTATTTATAAAAATATATATGTAAAGTGAACAAAAACAAGTAAATTAATTATTAATTGAATATGCATGGTTGGACTTTAAATTAAATTAAAGAATGATATGAGGTATGAGAATGATGATGTCTCATCAATTACTACATTAATGTGACGTGGCACAAACAAGATAATATAAAGATTCAATTAGGTAAGTTTTTGTTTGTTCTTAATAGCTATACCCCATCTATTTATTTAAAATTAATTAATTAAGATATATTTGTAAGAAAGAAAAAAAATATATATATTAATAACATATTTCATTTACTTTTTACATTTTTATATGAAATTATAGGAATATTATTATTATATTGAAATATAGTAGAAGTAAAGGTAAAAAGATAAAATTTTCTTTATTAGTATTATATTATATAAAGTTAATAACATTTGTGTAATATATTCTAAATTTGAAGAATATTTGTAATGTTAAATTACTAAAAAAAATAAATAAATTGTTAAGGGACGGATAAAAATGGAAAAATAGATAGATTGTTAAGGGACGAAAATAGTACTCCCTCCGTCCCATAATAAAGTATCTATTTTTCCATTTTAGTATGTCCAATAAGAAAGTATCTATTTTATTTTTAGTAACTGTACTATCTACCTAATATTACAAATACCCGACAATTTACAATATATTATATAAATGGCATTACATTTATATTACACATACTAATAAGATTATTTTAGTAATTTCTACTTTATTCATACTATATCCCAATATAATACTAATATTTTTAAAACTACGTGAAAAAATAAATGGATATTCACCTACGGGACGAAGAGAGTACAATTTAACAGTATACATTAACAATTTATATGACATATTATCAATTATAGTATATGATGTATAGACTATTGTTATGTATTATTAATTTATATTATATTAGAATATATAATATTTACTGTAAATTTATATTTCATATGTTTTTAATATATATATATATAAAGAAATTGTTTATTTATTTATTTCAACAATCAATTCAGTAACTATAATTAGAAAAGTAAAATTACATTATTATTCTTGGAAATATCTCATTTTCATTTTTAAATAATCAATTAATACAATAACATGAGATCTATGTCTATAAATTAATTTGATTAGTTAATTAAGGAAAATAATGTATACCAAAGTTAGGGTATAGGCTCAACCAACAAAAGGCAAAAAGAAATGATTGCATCAAGGGATGGGTGGACCCCACACCCACTTTAATTTCTTATTAAATTAAAAAATTTAATTATACTTATTCAATCACAATTTTAACGAAATAAAATAATTTTTCTTCACTTTTACAATAATTTTCTTCATATGTATATATTTAAAATGTCATTATAATATAAATTTAAATAAAATTATATTACACCCCTTTTAATACTATCTAAAATATAGAATTAATAACTAAATTAAAAGAAAAAAATATTTTTTTTAATCAATTAATTAATTAATACTTCATCCGTTTAACGGCAAAGTATACATATTTCTATTTTTCGATTTTCAATTATAAAATAATTATTTAATTAAATATTTTATTTTTTTTTTACAAATACTCTTAGTTTATATCACATAATTAATTTTATATAAAAAATAAACGTAAAAATATCATTATATTACTTTTATCTACTGTCAAAAATAAATATATACTTATTGTTTGGACGGAGAGACCAATTTATTTGTAGGTCATCCTCAATATTTTTGACTTAGGAGGGTGGGTCCCACACCCCCACCATTGTCTTTATGGATTGAATCATATAAAGAGCACCTCACGTGGACTCTGAACCAAACCCTCTGTCCAACCAAAATAAATTTTAATTATAAAGCTTAAGGATCCAAACTACTATTGCAAATTTATTTTAATTTAATTATAAATCAAAATAAAAAAATATTATATACAAAATAGTATATATATATATTCATACATACACGTATATGCATAATGCATATGCCATTCTTCTTTTTCAAGAAAGGGAATTTTGTTAAAAAGAAATACGAAAAAAGAGAACCCAATATAAAGAATGTATTTTTATTTTTTTATTTATTTCTCTCTATCGTCCAATTTTATTTTATTTCTTTTTTTAAAGCTTGCCCCATATAATTCCCACTCATTATCTTTGTTGCTTAAAGCTTGTCTTCCTCTCTCTCTCTCTCTTATCCTTTTTTACTCTCTCACTCTAAAAATACAGAATGTGAAAGGTATTACAGAGCACAATTCCAAAAAGAAAGAGAAAAAGAGAAAGAGAAAGAGGGATTATAATTGCCACACTTTATTTTTATTTTTTAATTAAATACACAATAATATTTACCAAAATTTCTATTTATTTATTGGTTAAATAATTAATTAATTAAATAAATAAATACTACATATTATATATATATTTTTTTATTTTTCAAAAAATGGAAAGCAAGCTAGGTTTTTCAAGAAAGTAGGGTTTCGTATTATATATTTTTTTCAAAGGGAATTTCTTGTAATGTGATCATGGAAGGAGGTGATGATCATCTCCACCACCACCGCCGCCACCACCACCACCACCGCCCCAATTTCCCCTTCCAATTACTTGAAAAGAAGGAGGACGAATCCACCAGCGCCGCCGCCTATCCGTCGCTCGCCATCTCCGCCACCGTCGCAACTTCAAACCCTTACTCCGGCGGCGCCGCCGCCGGAGACACCACTCCCCGATCAAGCTCCTCCTCCGCCGTCCAGGCCGCTTACGCGGCGGAGCCGTCGAAAAAACCGCCGCCGAAGCGAACGTCGACGAAAGATCGGCACACTAAAGTCGACGGCCGGGGGCGGCGCATCCGTATGCCGGCGCTCTGCGCCGCCAGGGTCTTCCAGCTCACTCGAGAGCTTGGGCATAAGTCCGACGGCGAGACGATCGAGTGGCTCCTCCAGCAGGCGGAGCCGGCGGTCATCGCCGCCACCGGAACCGGCACGATCCCCGCCAATTTCACCTCCCTTAATATCTCCCTCCGGAGCTCCGGCTCGAGCATGTCGGTGCCGTCGCAGCTCCGATCCAGCTATTTCAATCCCAATTACTCAATTCCGCCGCGCCGGGGGCTTTTTCCGGGCATCGGATTGTCGCCGGAGAGTTCCTCCGCCACGCTATTGAATTTCCAGGCGGCGAATTTAAACCCTAATTTGATTCAAGCGAAGCCGGAAATTCGGGAGAGCTCCCTGGACTTAACTCCCGACGCCGCCGACGACAGCCTCGGCCGGAAGCGGAGGGCGGAGCAGGAGTTTCAGCCGTCGCAGCACCACCAGATTGGAAACTACCTTCTCCAATCGACCACCGGAGCTATGCCGGCGAGCCACGCCTCAATTCCGGCGAATTTCTGGATGGTCGCCAATTCCAATAACAATCAGGTCATGGCCGGCGCCGGCGCCGGCGATCCAATTTGGACATTTCCGTCGGTTAATCTCAACAACACCACCACAACCACCGCCGCCGCCGCCGCCGCTGCTTTGTATCGAGGAAGTATGTCCAGCGGTCTCCACTTCATGAATTTCCCGACCCCCGTCGCCCTGCTACCCAGTCAGCAATTAAGCGTCGGCGGCGGCAACGGTCTGGGAGAAGGGCAATTGGGAATGCTTACAGCTGGATTAAATCCGTACCGATCCGGCGGCGGAGTGCCGGAATCTCCGGCGAGTGGTTCTCACGGCGGCGGCGGCGGCGGCGCCGCCGACGACGTCACCAGCCACCATTCCTGAATCCGCCATGGATTTCGGTAAAAAAAAGTTGTGTGTAATTTGATGTGTAAAACACACGTGAGGTTTGATTAATTTGTTCTAAAATTGAGGTTTTTTTTTTTTTTTTTTTGCTTGAAGTTTGTCCTAATCTTTTTTTTTTGATTGTGTGATAATATGGAGAGATTAGGGTTTGAGGAAGACAATATTTATTAAAAATTGGGGATGATTTGGTTGGTCCCTAATTTTGTGACAAGAAAAAAAATGTTTAATATTTATTTATTTATTTATTATCATTTTGTGCATTCTCAATCCCAATTATTCCATTCCCTTTGTTACAAAGCAAGATTTGTAATAATTCTACGTAACACATATGATCATTTGTTCTATGTAGTGTAATAAAGAATTCACTTTCAGTTAAATTCATTTAAATTATTATTATTTTTTTTATATATATGTCATTAATCAGTGTCCTGAAAAATATGACCTAAAATGTAAGTAGGTAGTTAGGAGAGGTACTGCAATTGTATATCTCAATCAAATCCCAAGATGCCCAAATTATTATTTAAAAAAATAAATAAATAAATAAAAGAATTGTACTTTTCATCATCATCAATTTCCTACATCTTGGGGTAAATTTTCACTTTTGACCATGTAATCATATCTCTGAAGTTACCAGTTAAAAAATCGTCGATCAATCGTGGCTGGCTAAACAAATAAAATAAAATAATAATAATAAATAATGAAAAAACCAATTCCACTGTAGAAAATTTTGAATGAAACAGACACGACTGTCTCCAAATAGTTTTCGTGAAACCTGAGGTTGTTTTCTTCTTAATTAATTTTTTTTCTTTTTTTTTTTTTTTTACTGCATCCTATGATTGTGGGGTGGGGTGGGGGGTGGGGTGGCCCATACCTTATCAGTACACCAGGTGTTGGCTCAGGTGGTGGGACCCACATCCTGGCAAAAATTAACTCTGAAAAACCCTTAAAGAAAACAGACGACGGCGACGGCGACGGCGGAGACAGGTGGCCCTCCGCCGTGATCTCCGACCTGGGCCGCCGGAGATGGATACTCCGGCGGGTCCCACAAGACCCAGGGAATGATTAGGAATGAAGATGATTTTACGTAATCAGAAATGTGTAGAATCTTTCTTTTTTTTTTAAAATTAATTAATTAATTAATTAATTAGGGTTTCTTTAAATTTGAATTTTTTTGGCATAATTAAAATATGGTGGTTTTTTTTTTTTTTTTTTTTTTTTTTTATGGATATGATATGATGTTGAACACTTTTGTGGAGCAGAATTATGAGTGTCGAATTGAGAGTGAGAGTGGGACATGAGAATGAGAAAAGACTTATTAATAAACAAACATGCAGAGAAGGAAAGTGATAGCTATACATAAATAAATATAATAAATAAATAAACAAACAAATAAATAATTAAATATATATATATATATATATAAATCTTATATGGCCACGACACCAGTGACCACTCCCAATTAATTAATTCCAGGAAAAATAATTTGTCCAATTCCATTTATTGCTGCTGTCTTCTAATTTTCGATTTATTATTATTATTTGAAATTAATTGGAAGAGGGGGAATGAGTCAAGAAGCTATATATTTTTCTGGTAAAACGACTCCAGTCTTCTTACATGCTGACACACTGAATTTTCCTTTTTTAATTATACCGTAAATAAATAATAATTATATATAAAACAATATATTATTTAATTTGTATTACATTAATGTTATTGAAACAAAAAAAATACAAATTCAAACACAACTAATTATCAGTTTAAACTAAAAATAGTTTTGAAAATATTAAGCTTTAAAATATATCATTGACAGTGTCAATAATAATAATTTGTATTATTAATTTAACAAGTAAACTTATTATTCTTCATGATTTATTTATATATATATATTATAATTTTAAGATAATTATATTATTTATTAAATATATTGTATAATTATCAAATAAATTATTTTTCGAGCAATAATCATTTTCGTCTTGTAAAAATTTTTGAATTTTAGTTTAAATAATATTTCAATATTATATATATATATGTATATTTAAAAAATTATACAAAAGTAAATACTCCCTCCGTCTCATATCTATATATTTATTTGCTTTTTGTACGGAGTTTTAGAAATATTAGTATTATATTGAGATAAAATATAAATAAAAATAAAAAGACTAAATTAATCATATTAATATTGTATGATATAAATGTAATAACATTTGTGTAATATATTGTAAATTAGAAGAGTATTTGTAATGTTAATAGATAGTACAACTACTTAAAAAAAAAAAAAAATAAATAATTAAGAAACGAAGGTAGTAATAAACGCTCTTAATATTTATTTATTTATTTATTTCTTCTTTTGGTGCCAACACACATCCAACAAAAGCAGTTGGATAATTTTGATGCAACTAGCTGCAGGCTGGATCAGATTTTAAATATATTTATTTTTAATAGATATATTAAAAATAAATTTACTAAAATTATTTAAGAAAATATACAATTTATATGTGAAGTGTAATTCTTATATTAATTAGAACAAAATTATGTTGACAAGCAATTTCATTAAGCATTATGAAATTTATTTTATAATTAAATATTAATTTTCTAAATAAATTTTTTTAAAAATTATTTATTTTGATTAAGTCAACATTTTTTTTTTGGGGATATATTATTTTCCTACACAATATTTTTCTTATCGAATTTCATTATTGTCTACCGTCTCTTGAACTAACTTTGTTGTTATCTTCCGGCTTCAATTCTATTTTTTTTTCTATCGATTTTTCGGTTGTGTCGCTACTAATTAAAAAATGCATTAAAAATTAAACAAATAACACAAAAAATAAATAAAATAAAAATTAGAACACCACACATGTATCAACATTATAAGCCAGCTTAATATTATTTACTCAATTAATAGTGCTATTTTATTTTAAATAGCACAATAATATATATATATATAAATATATATGTATAAAATTAAATTTTGGTGGTATGTGTCATATGGTCGTACCAAAATGTCACATGGGCTGGAACCCTAAAGGGGTACAGCCTATTGGTCCCATTTTTATTACATGCAATAATAATAATTTATTATTATTATTATTATTATGTCTTTTGTCTTTCTCTCTGAAATTTGCTTGTGATTTTTTTAAGTCCAAATTTTGGGTTTAATTGAGAATTTGAAATTGTAAAAATTTGAAGGATAAATTATATAATAGCCCTATGTTTTAGTAAAAATATAAAAAATATTCTGTATTTTATTTATTGCGTGAAACTCCATTGTGTTAACGTAAAATTTGCATAAAATACCCTCTTTGTCCAAAAATAATATTTGATTCTAAATAAAAACTTAAATTACACAAGTTTTATACAAATAAAAAGTAAAAAATATCTCAAATAATTTTTTTGAATAGAATGAATAAATAATTGATTAATCCATGGTTTTATAATTTTTGGAGACAAATAATTATCTTATTTTTATTAAAATTATAAAAGGTAAATGATTGATCAATTATTAATTTATTTATTTTATTCAAAAAATTTATTTAAGATATTTTATGTTTTTTATTTGTATAAAATTTGCGATAATTTAGGTTTTTATTTAAAATCAAATATCAGTTTTGAACAAGATGGTGTTCCATGCAAACTAGCACAAGTAGTTTCATACAATAAATAAAATATAAGGCATTTTGTACTACAAAAATATAAAAAGGTATTATATAATTAACTCAAATTTGAATTGAAATAAAATTTGATATGTTATTATTTTAAATTGCATTGAGTAATTGTTTATATTTTATAAAATACTGTTTGAATTTTAAATTTTTATTATTTCAAATCTGAAATAAAAATTAAAATTTTAAAGAACACTAATTTTAAAAGTGAATAGTGGACATGTAATATATATATATATATATATATAATATCCAAATGAATTAAGGTTTGTTTTGTTTTGGGGCCTAAATATTATGATTTGAAAGTAGACATTAAATATTGCCAAATATGGTTTGCAATGCAAATAATCCAATTATGGCTTTAAGAATCTGATTATCATTCGATTATTTTTGTTGCTTATTTTTTTCTGTTTACGATTATGACATTGCCTCCCTCACCCTTTACACTCCACTTTACTATATAGTATATAATTTCTATTGATTTATATATATATATATATATCAAATCAATAGAAATTATATTGCTGCGGATGATGTGTTCATCCGGCTAAGTCATTATGGTGCTGATTTGATCGAATCAATATATATTATGCACATAATCCGCATATATTTACACATAGTACAACATATATTGAGTTATAATATAATATATATTGTATTGTAAATATGTTAATATATGTTGGGAAAGTGATTTATCGAACAAATACATTCGAACACTTTAAAGGGCCAACACTCTAAGCGTAGGCGGTTCACAGTTATAACAATATTTTAACAACGAATGACAATGCAGAACATAAAACAACAATGAGACAAGGTGTTTGTTGACCCGGTTCGATTATCAACCAATCTACATCCGGGGATACCAATCCAGGAGATATTCTACTAATCAGTGCTGATTAAGGACAAAAACAATCACAATCAACCCAAAAAGCTATCACGGTTAACTTAGGAAAATACCTCCACAGGTTCACGTTGTCACAAACGCGTACTGACAACGACCATACAGCAGAGCAGCTCAGAGTTTGATCATCCTCTCCGGTTGGAACTCAATTATCTCCGATCTTCGTTGACCTCTCCGGTAGGTTTCAGTGTTAAACAACAGTTCAAAACATGGAGAAAATGGGAAGAAGGGTGAGAGCACAGACAATAATTTCTCTCTCTAAATTTTGGCTCTCAAACCTCACTCACCACCAAACTTTCTCTCATTTGGTTGTATATATCATGCAATCGTGGAAAGAGCACACTTCACATTAATGTTCCTTAATGTCCTTCTGACCATTCCCAAACTATCACGTTTGACTCTTGTGGGCATTTAAGAGATTGGACACAATGAATAATGCCAAACCCACAAATTCATACTGCAGCACGATTGCAGTGACAACCTTATTGTAACATCAGACTACTTGAAAAGAAAAATTTGCAGCATAAAAATGAAAAACATATTTGTCCATATGCCAAAAATAACAAAGAGTTTTTTCATTTACACTATATATGTAAAAATATATGTTGTTTATATGTATAGCAATGTTGATTCGATCAAATCAGCACCATATTGACTTGACCGAATTAGCTGATCCATGTCCATATATATATATATTAAATGTTTGTTTGTTCCCTAGTTCTTTAATTTTCCTTTTTCATTTTCGTAATTTTGAATAAAGAGCGTTTTATTATTATTATTATTATTATTATTATTATTATTATTACATTAATGATTTGTGAGTAGTTAGCAAGTAAGCTAAACTTTATATGATATCAGCACACTGGCTAGCTATATTGGATTTATTTATTTTGTATTTATATATATAGCTTTAATTTTTTTTTATAAAAAATAATTATTTGATATAATAAATTATATATATTTTTATAAAAAAAATATGACGTTGTATAAGAAACAATATAAATAATACACTAAGGAATTCAAAGTATGAACATTGGCAATATATATATATATATATATATTGACTGAATATGTACATATTTGTGTTCGTAATCGAATTCAATTTGAAAGACATATACATAAGAATTTCGAGGAAAAATCAAGTAAATATAAAAAATGTACTAAACAAAGTCTTAATTAACTTTATTTACTTTTATTGTTTAATTTTTATATAATAATTATAATATGCGAATTTTTATTTATTCATTTATTTTGAAGGGGTTCGGTTTGTGTTTATCGCCTTTTGCCACATATTTGGCATCTGCAACAATATGTCCGTAGAAAATACTATTTTTAGTCACATAATTTATTGTAACAAATAGTTTTCGTCTGGTCAACTTTTGTATTTTATTTGTTACGGTAATTGGTTCGTAACTATTATAATTAGAACGAAATATCGTCCCAAATACACTTATTAAGCTGATTATTCTATAAAAAGTAGTGAAGTATTGATATTTTTTTACGACTGACATGATAGTTTACCATAATTTTATAGGAAACAAGTAAATTTATTCGAAACATTTTCCTTTGCCTTTCAAATTAAACGTATTGACATGTTGAGTTCATCATTATTTTTTTAGAAATTTTGGGGAAAAATAATGAGATTTTCTTATTGATCGTCAAAATAAGAAGTCTATATATATATAGACAATATATATAAAACAGACTCGATACACTCAAATCTAAGTAATCTAATCTATGGATAAGATCAAATCTAAATATAAATCTACTATATCTAAAACTGAATATCTAAAATATCTCTAACATACTTAATTATAAAAATACATTTTCATTTGGTAATCACATATGCATGTTTCAAATTTTATAGTTTTAAATATTGTAAGAAAAAACTTTACTACACACATTTGAGGGGTGTTGATCAAAATTATTTGTTACAAAAATTATTGACAACAAGAAATCGCTATGCAAGTACATATAAGTGAAAATATATAGAGCTTTAAATTGAACAGTTCTCTATAAAAATTATTAAAAAAAATTACAATATATATTTTAACACAATATATATATATATCTATATTATTCAGTTACAAAATGTCAACAATTTTAAAAAGTAAAAATAAAAATAAAATTCATATAAATTTAAATTATAGAAATAATTCTATTTAATACCAATTTCATTATTTAGTCTGATATGGTTTCGTCTTGGCCCATTAGTCTTAGCACACCCCAACTTGGACTTCTTTTTTTTTTTTTTTTTGAAATATTTGGTACATATAATAATATTGTAGAAAAATAATTATAGTAAATAAAAAATTACTGAAAAGAAGAATTACCAAACACACTTAAATGTAATTTTTTTTTTTTTATATATTATATCATTACATTTAAAACTTATTTTTTTTAATTAAATTATCATATTTAATACCCATTTTCGGTATATTATTATTAATGTTGACTTGACTCGTTGATTAATAATTGGAAGAAGATCAAAGTCAACATTATTGTATAAAATTAATTAAATTATTTATTAAAAAAAATGGAGTAGAGAAATTGCGGCATTAATTAGTTAAGGGCACGTAGCAATTATGGTCCAGCTGTGCCAGCCACGCGCCATAGTGTATATTATCATCCAAACGACGCCGTTTAGTCATTTCTAAAATTCACGATTTTATTTAGATTTTATTTGTATACTATTTAATTCGCAATAATATAATATCTAATTTTTATTTATTACTCATCAAATAACATTATAAAAAATAATTATTTTTCTACTGTTATTTTTTGTTATTAATTTATTTTTTTGTTAACTTAAAAAATCTTTACGAATTATAGTGTGTATATATATGGCTTTGACATATTTGTAAGTATAATGTTGGATGATGTAAATTAATAAGTGTAATTTGTTTTTTCATAAATAAAAAAAAAATTGCATTTTATGAAGATAAATAATTAAGAAAAGGACATAAATTTATAGACAAAAAAAGTATTATTCCATCTAACAAAATATTAAATTAAAATAACTATTTAACTAAAAATTCAAATAAAAAAAACAAAAAACAAAATACATTAAACGTCATTACATCCGTTTACTAAATGATTGTCTTATTATTATTATTATTATTATTATAAAAATATGCACTTATCACAAATAAATTTCAAACATTTTTTTAAATTTATATGTTTTAATATTATATTTATTTATAATTATACTATTACTACTAATTACACACCAAAAACTCTTTCTTATCTTATTATTTTATTTATATACTTTTATTTTATATTATATTATATCAATAAAATTGATATAATATAATATTTTTGTCCGTCTCTAGAAGTCATATTTACTTTCGGCATAATATATTTAAATATCAATGATTATATTAAATATAATATAAATTAAAAAAAATAAAAATAACTTATAATATTAATATAATGACATGAGTAAAAAATATTATATAAATATAATAATATTTTTAATATTAATTACAATGAGTATAAATTATAAAAAAAATAAGCGCAACTTTTAGAAACTGAGTGACGAAGGACGAAATACTATTTATTAAAATATGCAGCCATAAAATGAGTATAAATTTCTAGGAAAATATATTTATTTTAAATTTTCATAACAATAGAAATTATTTAACAGTGCTGACGTGGAGAGCCGGGGACATCCATGGCACGTGGCAGAAGCGAAGTCTGCACGTGAGCAGTGACACTAAACGACAAAAGACCATGCCAGCGTGGCAGTTTGCAGACGTGTCCCAATCCGATGTACCGGTTGCCCACCACACGCCGCCCTCACCACAGCCCCTTCTCTTCCAAGTCATTATCCATTGCGAGAAATTTCTTAATCGTTTCAAGGAAGTGCGATTCCACACGCCTGTTTCCAGCGACCAATTCGTTCATCATCATCTTCACGATTTCCACCATTTGGTGCGTCTTATTAATTTCCTGCTCAACTGCTTTTATTATTTTTTAATGGTCTCCGCAATCGGTATTCAATTTTAGGGTTTGTGTTCTGTTCTGTTGGTTGATTCACTCGAATTGAATGATGGAATTGGTTCTATTTTATGCGTATATATAATGGATTGTTAATTTGTGAATTATCTTCGAGAAAGGAAGATGAATAGTGATTGAATTTTTTTTGCGCGATTGATCCTGCAGCGGTTTTTTGTTTTAAAGTCGTTCGTTTGATGATTTTGAGATTTCCGTATCTAACAGAAGCACAAATTCGTCGTGTCTGCAGAGTTAGGGTAATTGTTTACTGCAATTTGATACTGCTTCCGTTGTCGAGTCTCAAATGGCGACGGACACATCGATTGCTATGTGAGTGTTAGAATTCACTGTCTTTATTCACAGATTTTCTTCGATTCTGAAGGTTTTTGTGATTCTGTTTACAACGGCAACATTTCACTTATCTTCTACTTTGAATTATTCAATGTTTGTTTCGATCGATCATAGAATGATCAATGCCTCTGTTAGAGTGATTTGGTAGCTAGATTGATTATTTGTTATAGGACTTTTATGATCCTTTGTAGATCTCATCGTAATTGACATTCTTAAGATGCAAACAAATCGTATCTACGATCCCAATATGCACGGATGGTTGATGATTCTGTAGCTAAATTATTCCTTCATAATTCGTTTAGTTAGAAGTTTTGGCGTTTTAGAAAATTTCGATTATATGATAGAAAAAAAGTATTCGATACAATGATTCTAGTTTTTTTTTGGGATTGAGTTTTTGCTAAGTCGGTGCTAAAAAGGTTTCTTTTCGATTTATCATTCTAGCAACAAGAATCATGGGAAGGTTCCGAAAAGAATTAATAAGTCCCAAAGGGAGAAGAAGAAGCGCGAGCATTTAAACGAGCTATTTCTTAATCTGGCGAATACTCTTGGTATATATCCAAATCTTCGTGCTATTCATGTTTTTGCCTTAACGTTTGATCCCGGTTTAGTTAATGCAACGATTTCACTCTCTGAACATAAATTACCGTTTCAGAATTATCCGAGCAGAGCAGCTGCAAGGCCTCTGTACTAATCGAAGCCACTCGTCTGGTGAGGGACACGGCTGCGCAGATCAAGAATCTCGAAAAAGAAAACGCTGCATTATTGTCTGAATCTGTCTATGTAAGCCCGTTATGATCGTATTGTAGCTGTTCCCTTACAACTTATGCGGCAATGAGTTTCTTACACCAATGTCATCCATTTGATCAAAGATAACGGTCGAGACAAATGAGCTTAAGGATGAAAATTCTGCGCTGGAGGCCGAGATTGGGAAGCTAAGAACGGAGATAAAGTCGCGGGTTTCTGATTTGCAGCTCGACTTGAACAAAGCCCCGGCTGAAAATCAGGTTCACGATCCGGTGGCATTGCAGCACACAGGCGATCCTCTTGTGTTCCAACAAGGACAATTTTTGAACCTCGTACATTTGTCTGAACAAGTTTTGCCGGGGCATGGGTTCGCCGTGAGAAAACCGCATGCTAGGTATCCTACGGCGGCGGATGGCTGGCCGTCGCAAGTTCTGGAAAAACAGCTGGCGCCGGAGCGGGGTAAAGGTGCTCGGGACGGCTACCGGGACGATAATTGCTGTGTGTAAACTGTATTGTTTAGGACAGCTTATGTATATCTTACTTGTCCTTTGTTATTTGTTGCTTTGCTCCCAATATTTTTCATTTCATATATTCTTCTTAAATGAATATATTAGTATTTATGTATATAGTTAAAAGTTTTAGTAATTATAAAAAATAATAAAGATATCTGTAATGAACAGTAAAAAATATACTAAAATATATATATATAGAACGACATAAAAGATAAAATATACTCCCTCCGTCTCAATACAATAGTTCTGTTTACTATTTTTGTCTGTCTTAAAATTACTATTATTTTTTCATTATTATCACACCATTGCTACAATTGCTACTACTACACTTGTAAAGACAAAAATATCTTTAGCTCGTATTTTTTACAATATAATATTAATATTTTTTAAATTTCGTGCAAAAATTATAAATTTTATTAATAGTGGAAATGTGTAATTTAAATAAAAATTAATTATATTTTAGTATTAAACGTATGATTATTTTTACTAAAATTAAAAATAACTTGAATTGAAATAGAAAAAAAAAATTATATTGTCCCATATTCGTCAAACACTAACATCGACAATAATGAATGCGTCTATGCAAGTCTAGCGTTGACTCCAAGTCAATTATCGAAATTTCAAAATCTCTCTCTAAAATAATAATATACATATATTTATATTATATGAAATAAAAAGCTACAATTTTTATGTCCACGTGAAACGCCGATCACTTAATTCGAACCTACTCGGGAAGAACATCTCCAACATCCGACCTGAATTCCCCAAAATACCCTCACACCGCCGTCGCCGGTCCTCCGGCCATGGAGTCTTTGACCGTCCGATTACGGCCGCCGCCGGAAGACCGACTCGCCGACATACGCAGAAAGAACAAACGCCTGATCATCGCCTTCTTCATCCTAATCTTCGCCGTCGCCGCCGTCACCGGCGGCATCATCGTCTTCCTCATCCACCAGAACCATCTAGAAGCCCAACCCGGATCCAAATCCTTTAAACCAAACCCGGCAATTCGCGAATTCTGCAATCTCGGATCCAGCTGCATCTCCCTCCTCTCTTACTCCATCAAGTCCACGCCGGAGTCAACGCCGGAGCATATTTTCCGGTTAACCCTCGCAACCGCCGTCCGACTGATATCCAACTTTCTTACTCTGACTGCCAATTCCGGTTCAGGTTCCGGTTCCGCTTCGATTTCCGGTTCAAGCATCAACCCGCCGGTCCGGCCGGCGGTCCGTAACTGCTCGAGTTGGTTACGCCACTCAGTGAGTCGACTCGCTAACTCTGTGGACTCAGTGGAATCGGATTCCGGCGAGGAAACGAGAGCGGCGGCGCTGAACGACGTCGCCGCGGCGTCGGAGTTTCTGAGCCGCTGCCTGGAGGCTCTGGAGACCGTCCTGCCGGCGGCGGCGGGGTTGGAGACGGAGGCGCTGTATTTAATTAGGGCGGAGGTGTACGACGCGAAATCAATGGTGGATTACGGCAGGGATTTCCTCCTCAATTTCGACATGGTGAATGAGAATTTCAGATATTCCGATCTGTGGAGCGACGACGAGAGGTCGAGCAGAATGGTTGAGGATCTGGTCACTGTGACTTTGTTCGGGCTGTACTATTTCGTTTTGCTGTTCTTGTTCTGTTTGCTATTGCGAATTCGCTGATGAATTTTATAGTTTGATTTGAAATTGGAAGAGATATTTGTAATTTGCAGTGACGCTTGAGCTGCATTTCCATGGCGGTGGGTCCCGACCCGCATCCGAAACGGGTCGGGTTCGCGGGTCGTATAGCTTGTTGGCTGATTCAAGTTCAACCGCGGGATTTCGTCTTCGGATTTATATTAGGAATATTATTAAGTTTGGTTTAATGTAAATACTATGTACAATATAATTAGTCAAATAATTAAGAATTATATTAGTCAAATTAATTAAAATTTAAAAATAATAAATTATAAATTTTAAAATATAATTAGATTGTATAATTCTATATATATTCTTAGATATTGAAAAATTATATAAAATAGACAAAATAAAAAAAAAAAAAGATTTTATGTGGTGGCATGTGTACAGAGCATTTTATATGTAAAAAGAATAAATGAAGAGAATGCATTAATTAATTAATTAATTAACATAAATTAAAAAAGAGGTATTATGGTGAAGTAATATTATTGCCAGCAGTAGTCTTAATGGGCATCTCCTCCGCTGGCATATTTTTCACTTCTGCAAACAATATAAGTATATATATTTGGTCAGCACAAATAAAATAGTCATATAATACATATTGTTTTATTTAATATACTATATTGGAGTATTAAATACTCCCTCCGCTCCCATCTAATACGAATGTATTATTACGGGAATTTAAGTAAAATATAATTAATAAGTAATTAAAAAGTGTATTAGTAAAAATAATTATTATTTAGTAAAAATAATTATAGATTAAGATTAAGATAAGTAAATAGTTTAATTAAAATTAAGAAAATTATAAAATTTAAAATTTAAAATGCGATTAAAGTACATAATTATATTTTCAAAAATAAAAAGGACAAGTTATGTGGGACGGACGAAAATAGAAAATAGGAACAAATTATGAGGGACGGAGGGAGTAAAAAAAAATACTCTCTTTTTCTCAATACAATAGTTTTGTTTACCATTTTTGTCTGTTCCAAAACAATAGTCTTATTTCCATAAATAACTATATCTATCATAAAACTACCTCTACTTTTTTATTTTTATTACATAATTACCACTATTTTTTACACTAATATACTCACAAAGATAAAAAAGTATTTTATCCATATTTTTTTAGCAACTATCGATATAATATCAATATTCCTTAAATCTCGTATCTAACATAATTAAGACTATATTTATAAGATGGAGGAAGTATATGATTATTCCATAACAGACCATTTAGTGGTATAGGGGTGGATTTCCGTCCCGCTCCCACGTTATGTCGTGATATAAATTTAGCAGCTATATTTTAATCTTATACTTCTAAAAATGCTTTTACTTTATTTTTTAATTTTTTCTTTTTATTCCGTTTGTTTGATTTGATTTTTTGCAAGGTATAAGATCAAAATACAGTTGAAAAAAAAAATAAAATAAGAATAATATTTTTTACCTGAATTGGCAGCAACCTCAGCAACGGCAACAGCAGATTTAGCCTTGTGGTGGCGTATGGCAAAGACTCCGACGGCGATCCATAATGCGACGAAGGCGGGGATTACCGTGCCGAGGATTATGGCGAGGCGGTTGTTTTTCTTTTTCGGCTTTGATCTTTTCGTCGGGACATCAAAGTCAACGCCGGCATTGTTGCTGCTATCGTTGTCTCTCCAAGGAGAGGGAACAACGTTGTTGTTGTTGTTGTTAGATGAAGTCGAGCATGAATTCGACTTGTCTAAGTCAGGATTACCTCTTAGGCTACCATCCGTACATCGGACAAAATTAAATTCAAGAAAATTTTAGATATATATAAAAATTAATTGAAATAAGAAATTATGTGTAATGTTTGAAATTAAATAAGAATGATTTACATCAAATTCAAGTCCTTTTTGCAAGAGAGTGAATTGGGCACTACTCCGGAGAAGCCGTTATCGGCTAAGTTCCTTCATCAATCAATCGAATATGAATAAAATTAAGTACTGTAGTGACAACACATAGCGTGTCAATAGACAATAATAATTAAAAACATTATATAATCTGAGTTAACATAATACAAATATAGTATACGTCATAACAATATATAATATAATTCCACATAGTACAATATATTTTTGGTTTAAGAATAAATGCATTTATCTGATATAGTAAAAATAAGATTACAATGTCTACTTCTATAAAATACAAAATATGTTGTGCTATGCAGAAACATACATAATTTGCGTTTATTATATGTTTTAATTGGATCAAATCGACATATATATATTAACATAGTATATAATCTATATATTTTAGTAATTTCGCATAAGTCAATAATTCAATATAAAATATTACTCCCTCCGTCCCATATATCATGTCCACGTTGCCGTTTATGTTCGTCCCACATACCATGTCATTTTCCTTTTTTGAAAAATGATTACACACTTTAATCTCATTTTAAACTTTTTAATTTATTTTTTTAATTTTAATTAAACTAATTAGTTATCTTAATCTTAATTTATAATTATTTATATTATAGGATAATTATTTTCACTAATGCATTCTTAATTATCTACTAATTACACCCCTCCTAAAATACCGTGCCTACAGTGTAGCCGACACGGTACGTGGGACAGAGGTAGTATTATTTTTATATTATCAATACAATTTCTCATATTTAACATAAAAAAATTCACTTAAAAAATACAAATTGAACAGCTATCTATTTATATTACATCAAATATTTATTTTTATTTATTTTTTTACTATTATGGAAACTCTCCAAATATATATTTAAACACAGCCCTAATTTTAGTTATGTAGTTTGCATAATTTATTATTTTTCTACACGAAAAATAGTCATTATCTAATTCGAAAAATTGATAAATGTGGGTTTGTATGAGGATCGTGCAATGCACGATTATTTGTATATATAAAAATTTATTTATCAACATCTATTATTTGATTATTTTTTTCGTATATATATACATATTTAAAAATTCATTAGTGAGAGGGGGAAAAGGGTAAATAATTTTTATTTTATTTTTTAAAATATTTTGTAATATTTGTTACTTATTGATTTATGTGAAATAATGATTATATTGAATGTGATATTTCAATTGAGAAATATAAAAATTATAATAAGAAAATAAATAAATAAAATAATAACCATCATTTAATTGCATAAATTAGTAGAGTTGACTAACAATATTTGAAGATCTGCAAAATTGCCGAGGAATAGAGGAATGCTTCCGATTAATGCATTTTCCGACAAGTCACTGAATCATTACAAAAATTGTCACAAATTAATTACACAAATAAACTAATTAATTAAATAATCACATAATTTTATTTTTAGATAAAAAAATAAATTAAATTTGGTTTAACTTACATGGTCTGAAGAGCAGTCATAATACTGAAGTCAGGGAGAATTCCAGCCAGCTTCTTGTCCCTAAGGTTCCTGTAATATTTATATAAAGGCAATAATAATTAATAAATAAAATAATATAATTGAAAAATGTAAATAAATAAATAAAATAGATAAATATTACTACATCCGTTTGGCTCTAAGGGTCTCATTTATATTTTGCATGTTGATATTTGAATATTAATTATACTTCTATTAGTGTCTTATAATACTATTATAATATTATTTGTGCAAAAAATTATATAAATTTAAAAATATTTTGAAAATTAAATACAATGATGCAAAAAATAAATAAAACCCTTATAGTCGAACGGAGAGAATGTTACATACAGCGCAATAACCCTGGGGTTGGGATCAGAATTGCATTCAATCCATGACAACTTTGGAGCAAAACAAGGATCATCAACTACCTCGTACAGTTGAAAAAATGTTCCCACCAATATCATCAACCCTACCACTGTTCATTCAAAATAATAATTTTAAAAATAAATAAATAAATAAAATCCTACCACTATTCATCATTAATCCATACCAAAATTAAACAACATTATTTAAATTATATATTGCAATATGTTAATTTAATGATCACTTTCCACATCTAATTAATTTCCTATTGTTGTATTTTAGTCACATAAGCAATTATATATATATATATATATATGCAACAAATTAACAATTGTGATATGTTTGATACTACAAAAAAAATAAAAATAAAATAAAATAAATATATTTGTAATGAAATTCCGTTCCTAAAATTTACGTAGCTAACGTAATTTCATCCCCAATTATGTCTCTAATATTATCAATAACAAAAAAATGAATTTAGAGACAAAAAAATTTCGTTACAAAAATGTTATTTTCTTATAATGAAGAGTATACTTATATCATTTTATTTGAAATAAAGTCTAAAAAAAAAAAATAATTATATTTTAAAATTGTGACCGGAAAAGGTTAAATATGTTAATTAATCTATAGGATAAAATATAACAACGTAAAATTACACGACCAATTCAAGAAAACAAAGTTGCAACAAACCATCATTCTGATTCGTCGCACCGGTGGCAAGTGAAGCTGCGGTAACATTGGAAGGATCAATCGCTTCGCCATTTAAATCTTTCGACAAGATTCTCCTTCCTGGATTCGATCAAATAAAATTAAAAAAGATTTAAGATTGAATCATCAAATTGAGAAATGAAATGAAATGTAATGAAAGTTTGATCACCATCAACAGATGAAATTAAGACAACAAAGAATGCAAAGACAAGAGAAGAATTCGTCGACATTGATTTTATTTTATTTAATTTTTTCGATAAGAATGATGAATCATAATTAGTATTGCCGTGCGATTACACATATATATTGTCGAGGAAGAGGGAAATGGAGTTCAAGTGGATGATATTTTTAGGGTTTTTGGAGTTGAAATTTGGCTGGCTGTGTAATAGATTTTAATTAAATCGAGGGCTGACCTTGACTTTATTTTGTAAGAATATATGCACGATGGTGGATTCAATATTTTTATATAATTTTATCTTTTTATCTTTAGTAGGGTTGTTACCATTCGATTGTTTGTCGAGGGTTGTTTTGTAATAAAAATAATCCAAACAATACATATTATCGTTGAATTCAACAAATAAAACATATAAAAACACACTGTCTTTAGTACAATATACTATAATTTTTCGTACTTAACATAAAAAATACATTCATATACTACAAAAAATAGTATATTTATAACAAAATTCCGTCCTTAAAGTTCACGCAGCTAACGTAATTCCGTCTCTAATGTTATTATTAATGAAAAAAATAAATTTAAAGAAAAAAAAAACTTCGTTACAAAAATAATATTTTCTATATAAAACTGTAACACAAATTGCACACACCCTAAAGTTTCGTAATAATATATATATATATATATTTTTATTAAATATGTTGAATGTAGGTTTATTTGGAATATTTAATTTTCATTGAATATATATATATATATATATATGATATGCATGTTATTGAAATTGGAACCAAAATAGGAATTATTTTTAGTTTGGTAGGTGAGACAGGGTGTGCATGGACATAGTCAATATTGACTTAATTATGATAATATTTATTAGGGACTCGGTCTGTTTGTTTGTAGCACTATTTTATTTTATTTTATAATTATAAAATTAAAGAATGATTTTTATTTAAAATATTATATGAAATATACATTTACATCATATTCATAACTCAGTTTCAATTCAAATATTTACTAGTTTAAAATCTCAAATTTATTTATTACTATATGGTTTTTTCTTCTTAATGTTTTTAATTTACATAAATCCTTATAGTTAATTTTAAAAATTGTATGTAAATTTTATTTTTATTTAAATGTTATATAAAAGATTTTGTAATAAAATCAAAAGTTATATTATTCCAAACCACAAAATGATCTTGGGCTTAATTCATTTGGGCCAAGATTGTGAACAATCTTTGAAGCCCATTGGATCTCCAAATATTAGGCCCATCTCTTTATCGACCCCAACTTTCTAAAGATCCTAAACAAATTATAGTGAATCATGACAAATTTGTGTCATGGCTTAAATTTGGATTTGATATTATTATTTACAATTCTTTTTTTTTTTCTTCAAGACATTAAATACATACCATCTTCATCCTAACGAAATTTACCATTTCTATTATTTTAATTTGCCTAATTCAACATTATACCATAATTTCATACTCCCTCCATCCCATAACTAAGTATGTATTTGCCTTTTGCACATAGTTTTAAAAATATTAGTATTATATTGAGATATTGTAGGAATAAAGTAGAAATGACTAAAATAACCTTATTAGTATTGTGGTAAAATGTAATGACATTTGTGTAATATATTGCAAATTGTAAGGGTATTTGTAATGTTAGTGGATAGTACAGTTACTAAAAAAAAAAAAATAGATACTTTGTTATGAGACGGACTAATATAAAAAAAAATAGATAGTTTGTTATGGGACGAAGAGAGTATTATTGTTCAAATATTCTTAATTTTTTACATAAATTAGAAAAATAATATTACACATATGCATAAAGTACAAAAGACAAAATTATCAAAAATAACTTTACTCAATCAAAGACTTCTCAAGGCTCATCCTTTCCGAAATCTCAGCCTAGAGCAAAGCATCGGCATATCTATACAGAGGAGTTGATCTAGCACTAACTCAACTCAACCCAACTCCGAGGGTATTACATCCACATCAATTTAAACATGCAATATTTACATTGATCCCTAAGTTAGGATCTGTCAACTGCTAGACCTCTCAATAGTTCGGTCAATGACTATAGGTTATCGTAGGTTGGTTCTGATATCAACTGTAACACCCCAGTCTACTAGCCGAGTGTGTCGGAATCATAGACTGGTTTCGCAGATTAGCACAAGTTCTTTCAGTGCTTTTTGTTATCACTCAAGCGCATTTTGGGAGACTTCACAAGAAATAGAGCAAACAAACTTAACTTTATAGTTCTTTCAAATGGACCATCGAAAAAGAATGCGAACATTATTGATATAAGTAACTTGATTAATCTATTTAGATTTTTTTTTACTCAATCAATTTGTTAGATGAAGTAAATGAACGTCTCACCTAAAAGCTAAGCTGTTAGGATACGTATCATTTATTTATTTACCTACAAACGGGAGTCCACCAACACGCCCCTCACCTGCAAGAAGGATAAACACCATTAAAGAAAATTGCACGTAGACGACAACAAACGAAAAACAGTAGGACTTGAACTCGAGACCTATAACTCTAATACCATATTAAAATACTTTTTGAAAAGAAAGTTATTAATTACATTAATAATAAAACCAAGACCTATTTATAGATATAGTCCAAAACGAATAAAAGCAAATAATAAAATAAACAAATAAATAAATATTTTAAGACAATCGAATGATCTAACACCAGCTCGATCGGTTCTGATTTGTAACGTGCCGAAAGCTGATATGCCCGGCGCCCAGACCCAAAAGTCCAAGCCAGCTGTCCCTTGTGCGCAACAAACCTAGATATACCATATAATGCTAGAGAAATAAGGCGGAACAAATACAAAAATGTCAGTTCGTGACACTCTCCCCCGCTCTAAGTCGCAAACGCCCTCGTGCGACGCCACTTGAGTGCACCGAAGTTTGCGACTTAGAGTGGGGGAAGTGTCACAAACTGACATTTATGCCCCAAATTCTCGAACATAATCCATCATACGTGTGCAAGTCTCTGGCAGAGTATTACACCTAGAGAGTTCTCATCAATCATCACAAATTTCTAATATTGAGGAAAAAAAAAAAAGAAAAGAGTAATAATCAAACATGTATATATAAAAATAAATTTCATATGTAGGTTTAATTTAAAAGGGCATATATAATCATATATTTTTTGAAATGAAGTTATTCGAGTTTATTTATGTAATGAAATGAATTCAAATTCAACTTTAAGTTTGAAAATAAAATATTCAATTGGCCTCAATTTAAATATATATATATATATATATATTTGTATGTATGTGTGATATTGGTTAGGCCGACAGATCTTGGAAACCTCAAGTAGGACATGCATTCTGTATATTAATTAATTAATTAAATCATAATCTCCAGTTGTAACACTTTATGGATTAATTAATAATATCCATTTTAAGTTTAATTACTTAAATATTTCAGTTCCACTGTCGGCCATCATAATCACTGCTCAACTTATCCAACAATTTTTTTATTCAAATGGAGTTTATTTTTTTTTTATTTTTTTTCTATATAATCATCATAATTTTTTATAAAAATAAATTATTTCATTTTATTATGATATTCAAATTACTATTTAAATAAAAAAAATATAACTAAACTTAAACTTTTCTCTACACATAATCTATATATATATACAGTCATTATTATGTAACAATAATAATAATGTATCTTAAAAAGAACTATCAAGAAATCATCAATTTATTTGGAAAAATTGATTTTTTGCAAAATTTTTAAGACAATGCAAGTTGCAATTCAATAATTTTCTTGCGTGGTTTGATAGTTCTATGTCATGATTCAATATATATATATATATATATTTTTCAAATATATACATATTAAAAATATTTAAAAAATAATTCAAAAAAAAAAAAAACAATTTTTCGACAGATGACGGTCATTTACATCATTAAGCAAATAACTTCGACTAAAATAGTAAAAAAAAAAAGAAAAAAAAAAAGCATTCAATAGTTCAATTTAAAACACATTCAATATATACAATAGATAAGCTAAGTAAGTAATGTGCCACTTTCCACAAATAATTAATTAATTAACTATTTTTAAAGGGATTGGAAAATTAATGATTTGAATTAAATTATTTGTATATATGTTTGGTGTTAGTTAACATCTTTGTTAAGGCCAAAAAATCCAATTAAAGGGTTGTCTCAAAGATATTGTACATGTATATCTACCAAGGGATCCACCTTCCATAACACTATTGACATAAATATATATATATATATATATCAATAACTTTCAACTTTGCAATATATAAAAGACATACTCCCTCCGTCCACAAACTAACGTCCTACTTTCCTATTTGGAATGTCCAATAATTATTGTCCTCTTTCTATTTTTATACACAAAATTTACTCTTTTACCCTTACTTTATTTACTCTTTCATTTTCTATACACAAGATTAAGGGCAAATTTGTCATTTTATAACAAAAACCTTAATATTTTATAATCAATAGAATGTGAACACATTTTACGGAAACAAAAAAATTATATTATATTAGTCATCAAAATAAATTGCATATATATACCTAAAATAAAACAGATTCGATAGACTCAAATTTAAATAATCTAATATATAGATAAGACCGAATTTAAATATAAATTTAGTAAATCTAAAACTCATTATCTAAAACATTTCAATACCTCACTTCAAACTCAAGTGGTATAACAAAAATCAATTTGAATTTGCAAAAAGAGATCGAAGATGACACAACCATAATCGTCTATCTTGCCGGAATCAGAAGTAGTATCTTCAACTGAATTAGAGTCAGGAAAACTCTCAGCAGAGCCGAAAAATACAGAATTGAAAAATACGAAACTCTCTCCGGAGCCTGGAAAATACAAAACTTTCACCGGAGTTAGAAAAACGACGGGTGTTTTCTCCACAAAGTTGGAAAAGAAAAGTCTCCGAACAGAGTCAAAAATAAGAAGAATCTCAATGCAGTCGGACACATAGCTCTGAATAAATATGACAGACCGATCGCAGACAAATAAGCAAACAGAACTCTCAAATCCAAACACAGACGAGAATCAAGATTATAAACAGAAAGATTAACGACAAAATTTCATTTATTTAGGAGACCTCCGAGTACATTCTAAGTTGAAATTACCAAGAGTACATTCAACCTGGAATGCATCCTGAGGTCTCCTAAATTTGATTATTTTTTATTTTTTATTTTGATTTGATGGTGTCAATGAAGATCTTCTGATTTTGAAATTAATCTGTAATTGGTTCATGTGTCAAGTTTATTTTTAAAATTTGCATCCGAGTTCGGTCTTTGATCGTTTGTCAAGGTTCAGTACAAAATGCTGCTTCCGATTGCTTTGAGAGTTCCACCAGTTTTTCGGCTCCCGTGAGAATTCAATGTTTTTCAGGCTTCAAAGAGAGTTTTGTATTCTCCAGTTCCATATTTCTGGTGAGAGTTTCGTGTTTCCTAATTCCGGGTTCTCTGGCTGTGGTGAGAATTTCATGTTTTGATTCATTCTCTCTGTAACTTGTACTCTGAAATTACTAGTGTAAATACATTGACTATTTCTAAACATAGATCATCTTGATCGAATTGTATCATCAAATTCTTATAAGTTTTTTTTTTATTTATTTTTATTAATTTTCTGATTTTTGCAACAAAGTCAATTCACTACAACAACTTAGCCACTTTGTAAAATTTTGGTTTGAATTTACTATTAAAATAATGTATAATAAAATATTTTATGAAAAAAAAAATGTATATTTTTAAAAAATTACAGAATTCAAATAATAAAAAGCTGGAATTTGGAGTGTAAAGAAAACACCTTTTATATTTTTTAAATCTTGTTTTACAGAATCCATGCTTTTACATAAATTGAATAATTTTAAAAGTGAAATAACATTGAATACAAAATAAATATATATTATTAATAAAAAATTGCATTAATAATCATAAAGTGATGTACGATTATCAATGCTTGTCTTGTCTTGTCATTAAATTCTTGAAAATCAAATAAATAAATAAAATAACTTTAGCGACATGTTTCTTTGTCATTTATGATATTTATTTGAAGTCTATTATAAATAAATAATGTAATTACTTTAATGTCATTGTTCCCGTAACTATTTATTAAAAGATTAATAAAAAAAAAGTACCAGGTAAATTAAAAAAATGAGTAAATTATTTTTTTAGTCCGTAATTGACCCATTTATCAATTTTAGTTTCGTAAGTGGAGTCTGTCGTAAATTAGTCATAAGTGAAAATTTTTTGATGTTTTAGTCCTCCGGCGCCGGAGCGCCCGCGTGGCTCGCCGGAGGTGACGTGTCCGTCAGGTGTCCCGCCAGGTCAGCGACATATCGCGGACACGTGGATTTATTTATTTTTTATTTTTTTTAATTAGACCAAATAAAAAAATAAAAAAATACAAATAAAATAAAAAATAAATTAAAAATAAGTTTTAAAAAAAATGAAATTAAAAATAAAAATATCCACGTGTCCGCCGGGTCAGCGACACCTGGCGGACACGTCACCTCCGGCGAGCCACACGGACATCTCCGGCGCCGGAGGACTAAAACAGCGAAAATTTTTCACTTATGGGACTAGTTTGCGACAGGCTTCACTTACGGGACTAAAATGATAAGGGGGTTACGGGACTAAAAAAATAGTTTCCCCTTAAAAAAAACAAAACAATAAATTAGTGACCAGCGTCTTCAATCATGAACTGAGCTGAGACCAAACTGATTGATTGATTCATAAAATCAAATCAGACAACAAGAAATACATCGACAGGACAGACAGGCCCAATCGAATGAACAGACCAAATCAAATCAAATCAGTTCATCAATTAAGTAATAAGTCTCAGGTGATCGATATATATATATATATATATATGAAGTTTAATTTAATTTAATTTCTAATGTATTAACTAATGTTGGTACAGTAGAAAAGCCCTAATTGCTTCAGCATCAAATTCAATGGCTTCCATAGCTCCAGAAGACAACAGCTCTCCCACTCTCTCACTAAGATCGTCGACTTCTTTGTGAAGCTTCTTCAGGTATTTGCATGTCTCCTTCACTATCTTTGATGCTGAAACCTTCTTCTGCTGCTGCAAATACATACATACATATATATATATATATGTAATTTTATTTTAATTTTTGGATGATTTTTCGAAATGTAATTTTCAACACCTTTTAATTTAATTTAATTTTTGTTGTTCTACCAAAGCATGCATGCAATTCAACAGAGTGTGAACAAATTAAAGCATGTTTGTTAACTAATTCGACGTGTAAAGTCGTAGACGACTTCTTTTAAATATTTGCTGTTGTTTATATATTAAATAGGTATTTGATTTGATATTTTAAATAAAAAAATTTATTTTGAATACGATGCTTTTTGAATTTCGAAAAATAACTTTTTTTTTTTTTTTTTTTTTTTTTTTTTTTCTGTCGACTTAATAGTACGGAAGAAAATAATGGAAAAAATATATACACACATTTAGTCTTTGAAATGGGGCCAATGGCAGCCAAAGTATTCTCATTACTTTAATATATATACAATGAATAAAACTTTTTTGTTATTATTATTTTTTTCAAAGAGTATTTCAATGGCACTAAATTCACAATAATCAAACATTTTCTCACAAAAAAGATCAAAATAATAATAATAATTTTTTTGTTTTGTTACCCTTGTATTGCACGATGTCGAGTTGGAATGACGAGGGAGAAGATGTTGTAGCTTGAGGATGAGATCGTCGATCTCATCTTCTGTGATTCTTGAAACTGACGACGACGACGACGACGATGACGATCGTGGTGATCTTCTTCGGGACATTTTCATCGAATTTAACAAATATTAGTAATAATAGAAAACAAAAAGTTGTTATTACAATATATATATATATAAGGTGTTTGCAAGAAATGAAGAATTGGGGTTTTGTTTAGTAGAGTTAGGAGTGAGTTTGAGGGTCTTAAAAAGGAAATGGGAGTGAGAGTTTTGGTTAAAAAAGGCCATGAAATGAAATGAAACAAAAAGTAGTTGCCATTAAATTAATAATAATAATAATAATAATAATAATAATAATGTGAGTATGTGAGGGCCCCTTTTGTTGTCAATCCTACACTACAATTTGGGGCCACAATTTTTTGGACCTTTTTGCCAAACATTGCATATAATTTTTCTGAAAATTTAATTATCATAATAATAAAATATTTACTGTAATATATATTTAAAATTTTCTTACTGATAAATATTAACAAATTTTTTTTTCTAAAAAAAAGGAAAAAAGTCATTCGAAGCAATTAACATGTGCATGTCCATGCATCTCTTATACTCTGTGTATTTACAACTGTCATATACTATATGTTATTTTTTATAACATCGGCATATTATTAGTGGATATATTAATTCATATATATTTAAAATATTTTGCAATACATTGGATAACATATTAAGTTTAAAAAGCATATAAAATAAGCTAAAATGCTTATAAGATGTCGAATGTAATCATATCTAATTTTGTATTTATTTAATTTTTTTATAGTTTTAACTATTTTTGTTGTAGATATGAAAAATTACAAAAATATTATAGAAAATTGATTTTTAGTGTTATGTGTATATGTATTATTAATTTCGTTCAAACTAAAAGTATTATTTTTATTATTTTCGTCTAATTACACTAAAAGATATCAATTTTTTATTATAGTAAAAGTAAATATTAATATCAAAATATTACTATTATATAAATTACAAACATATCTGTATATATGCATATATATACAGTAAAAAAATAAAATTATCAATATTATCTTGTATATTTTCACTTATTAATAAAATATTCTTATTTATTAATCTATTACAAACTCAAAAAATACACTCTCTGAAACCAAGGGAGTATAGTATATATATATATATATATATTTATAAACATATTTTTTAGAATATGATAAATTTGCATTGCTAGGCGATGAAGAGGGACTTGAACACGTGGAAGCATATGATTGGCAGTCGATGTCAAGGCCATACAGTACATTACAAGAGATGTATACGTTTCACCAGAAAGATACCTTTGTTTCATTGTCTGTTTTCATTGCCATTTCTGACCTAGGAAAATAAGTTTTTTTATTTTTAAAAATAATAATAACAATAACAATAAACAATAAATAATTAAAAATGAAATTCCAGATTAATTTTTAAGGGTCAGTGAGACACATTTTAGATTAATTATTATACTTAAGCATATGTAACAATTAATTGATTGGGATGCACATTAAGGTTTCAATTTGTCGACAAGTTCTTGTAATTTGATGCCAATTTTCCCAATCAGAATTTTCTTTTATAGGATAGTAGGTTATGGTTGAATATTTATTTATTTGTTTGTTCTTTCCTATAATTGGGACAAGGAAGTATTGAGGCCAATTAAAAAATTGTCTCAAACCAAAGCAACAACCTCTTATCTTTCTATGCATAAAATCAATAATTTCCTTGGGCAATTCCAAAAGTTTGGATTCATGGAACTTGTTCCCAGCCTTCTAGTCCCAACAAGCATGATATATATATATATATATACACACACACATAATTGTGTATATATATAAAAATAAATATAAATATTTTGTATCTATGAACATACAATCTTGGGGTTGGGATATAGGGATGAGATCGTCAGCCCCTTTCCTACCCAGCCTCTTCTAATACACTCAGTATGTATATATATATATATGATATATAAATATATAATAATATATAATATATAGTGTATATATATCACTTTGTGTGAGAGACATGTAACAGAAGGGGGCCGAGGATTCCATCCCGTATATATATATATATATATGTGTGTATCGTTCTTGATTTCATAAGTTCGACTTAGTTCACCAAACAATTTCGACAGCGAGACAATCTTGATTCAAATAATAGTCATGATGTGTGTGTGGGGTTTCTTATTTCATTAATGTTAAATTAATCTCTTAAAACAATTGTTTGACAATTAACCTAAATGTTGTTGTGCTTGACAACAGTAAATAATACTCCCTCCGTCCCAAAAATATAGTGTTATTGTGTTGGGCACGAGATTTAAAGAATATTGATATTATATTGTTAGTTGGTAAAAAGTAAGGATAAACGACTTTTTTGCCCTTGTGAGTATATTAGTGTAAAAAGTAGTGGCAATTGTATAATAATAATGAGAAAATAAGGATAGTTTTATGCTGATATAGTTATTTATGGAAATAAGACTATTGTTTTGGGACGAACAAAAATGATAAACAAGACTATTGTAGTGGAACGAAGGGAGTATATAATTGTTATATTGTGAAGTTCAAGTTGAAAGTGGAGAACTACTGAACATCCGAGTCCATAACTTTTTTGAGGCTGTCCGTGTAGATTTTCGACCGCATACTCATTAGGGTTTTACATAATAGCAAAAATCTCTCGATTAGCTGCCCCTAGATGTAAATTCGTGAAATTTGGTCACCAAACTTTTGTGTTTCATGTGTATATGTTATCTTGATTTCCATTACTTTCTTTCAATAACTTAAGATATATATGTTAATATGAATGTTCATCTAAATACTAGTGCAATGATCGATCTTTGTGTTAGAAGGGAAAATGCATAAATTCCTTATAGCTAAAGATTATCCACACATTTTCTTATTAATGGGAGAGTATTTATGCTAAAATACAAGTAATTCAAATATAATTTTACCTAAAAAAGGGAAATTATTTACCTTTACATCTTTATGCTTGTAATGCTATTTCATCGAAGATAATAATTGGCATCGTTTGTTTTCAATGTTTCGCATATTCTCAATGGTTTTCATCTTTCGAACCTATTGGTTGTTTGTCTTTATCCACTATAAGTGTAACTTAATGGTCATGTGAGTATATTTGTTGGATTGGTTCGAATGTTAGTTGTGCTTATGATGTAACGTGCAACTTGTGATTATATTTTAACAATTCTTGTAATTTGATGATTTGAGTAAACAATAGTTGTTTGCATCGGTTAGGATTTAGTTTGGGAGATTGAGATATAGATATTAAAAATGTGAACATGAATGGACAAGTTTGTCGCAAACTAAAGGAAGAAAAATAAAACCATTGAAAAAGAGATAGGATAACATCAAACCGAGCTTTGTGAAGTAGAGCAAAACACCTTCAATTATACATACATTATTCTCGACTAAAACTTGTGTACACTCTAGCCCCACTCCGGCCTCTCTACAGTGAATTAGGTCGGTTCCGTAATCATAAATTGACTCCATAGATTAACATAAGTAAAAAACTTACCAAGATGGTTAACTTTATACATAATATTGTTCGAGAACAAGCACACTTAATTATAAAGTATTATTGATAAAGTTATTGTTAATCTGAATCTTCGACTAAGTAAATGATGTTTAAATATACATATAAAGAAAGCTAAAAATTTCTCATTCATAATATTAATGTTTTCCGATAAAAGAAGACTTACTTATAGACAAATTAAGTTAATCCCAATTGAACTAATAATAATAATAACTAACGATTGCAATCTCATCCAAACTAAATAACTATTAAAAACACCAAAAAATAAAATAAAATAAAATAAGGGTTTGTTCGTTGATGTTTTTATTCTCAATTTTTTTTATTATTCAATCTTTTACTTTCCCTTCAAAAGTAAAGCTTTTAACACACGTTTTTTAATTATAGAAAGTATCTCATCAAAAAATTATATTTTATTTCAAAATTTTCAAAACAAAAATAAAAATACAAAAGAACACACTGTATAGAGATGGTGATATGGTGTACCCGACTTCAACACTTGTCGAATAGAAGTGTTATCAAATAGTTTTGGATAGTTATGTCGTATGTGAGTGTGATAGCAAACGATGTCTTTATAAGTAGTTCGAAGTACTCCAAAATGAGACATACCAACACAAGGGCCACCCATATAGGTGCATTTGTGTGGCATAAGATCATGTGGTAACAACATACAAGATAATCACGTATGCCCTTTGGACCCCCCGACGTGTATTGAAGCACCATTATTGTCTTCTAAAGTCAAGCTTTGGTTTGAATGATTGTTTGAATCGAATTCCATGTCATCACCCTTTCTTTGAGAAGATTGTTCCATCAATTGTACCTCGATTACCACTACCTTGATGTCTCTCGAAGATGGTAAGTCCTTTTCAACTAGATCAATAACCAAAGTCTCATTTCCCATTCGCATTTTATCAACTTTAATTGATTCATCAATTGGTGCTTTCGTCTCTTGGCTAGCCTAGGAATAATTTCGCTCGATCTATTGTTCACATGCCTATGTCTTTGATTATAGTGGTTAATCGAACCCTTCTCTATGTCCTCTCCTCCCCCACCCTCTATATTTTTTTTTTCTTGTATTATGTTTTTTACAGATTATATTTAATACGATAATCACAAGGCCTAAGTATGTTCAAATAAATCACTTATGTTTGAAAAAGACTCACTATGCAATAATAAATATGTTATTATTTGAAGTTATCAGTTGCAAACAAAGAGATCAACAAACATTAACACCCGGTAACATTGTGTCATGATTTAACAAACTTTTTCAAGGTTGCAAGCTAATTTTCGCTACTTTTGAGCGACCACTTTCGATATTGTTTGGAAGAGAGACTCAATCAAAGTATGATAGTGCCAAATCCAGCATATCACAATTATCAAGTTCATACACAAAGTTGTGATACCCTAAAAAAAAAAAAAAAAAAAAAAAAAAAAAAAAAAAAAAACTAAAAGAATTATAAACTCCGCACATCCAAAATGATATTTATAATATAAATATCAAAATACGGCTTGACTGGCTTAAATCAAAACAACGCATATTTGAGGCATTGTGAATAATGCGAAAACAAGTACCCCTAAGAGATGAAGGAGTTGGTGTGGTGGATGAAATTGTGACTGTGAAGTTACAGGTTTTCAA